TACACTTGTATTATTGGTAAGTCAAAATATCGATGATTATGAGCTGAAAATGAGGTTTTGAGTAAAATAAGACAGAGGGAAAAAAAGACCGATAACTTGATGATGGTGAGGATTAGCAGACCATGGATTAAACAGCTCATAATGGATTAAGGGGATAGAACAAAAGAATTCACTGAATGTGTTTTTATGTGTCATCACCACTGATGCAAATGCAATAATTGGCCAATGCACTGGCTGCTGGTGCGAAGATGCGTTTTTTGCATAGTTCCCCGCAGTTTTTGTCGCTACTAGCACCGGTTTTTCCGGCAAATGCTTCTAGCTAAATAAATTAAGACTGGCCGCCAGAACTGCCAGAAAACACCCTCTTAAAATTTCAACTTTCTAGCTTTCCTGGCTCCCGAGTTAGCAACTTACTGGAAAAAAATTTTCACGAGCCCGCACGCGGGTACCACGCATACCCAGTACCTGGGTTTGAACTCATTGAGACTTACGTGGACGGGGAACATCCTCTTAAAATTACAGCTTTCTAACTTTTCAGTTTTTCGAGTCAGCAACTTACCCGCAAAGAACTTTCACGGGCCCGTAAGTGGGTACCACGCGAGTAAGAGCGCCCATTTTGAGGACTGGGGCCCGTATATGCATATAGATTAAGTTCCCGAATTTTCAGCCCTGTAACTTTTGTAGGTCTTGAGATGCAAAACCGTGACAGACACACACACACAGAGAGACAACCCCTTCGTCAATATGCGTTTTCTGCACTGCATAGGTGCAAAAAAATGCAAAAAAAAAACGCATGCTGTCAGCATTTTTTCTCAGAATGTGCCTAGATATCTATCCAGATCTTTGAACTCAGCAACCAGAAAAGCTAGAAAACTGAAATTTTATGAGGTTTTTTATGATCCATAGGTGATCCTGCAAGAAGAAATGTAACAGATGCCAACAATACCAACCCTACTCTAACAAATACAGAATTTACACAACTTTTACAACACTTTGTAATTCAGTAACTCGCGTACACCACCCGTGCAGCAAATCACTTCAGCATTATGGAATAACTACGCGGATTGGCACTGTGCCAAAAATTGAATGGCAGCATATGGTTGATTACGGGGTTTTGTAGGGATTCGTTTTGAAATCGGATTTCGTATTCGAACTGGATTTGATTGCTCCAATTATATTTGTTCTGGGAACAAATGTTTCGGCTGAGGGGGCCATCGAGCCTGGAAATCTCTCCAGAAGGCGAAACGAACTCGAATGCCAGGATAAGCAACAGCAACAGCAGCAGATCCAGAGCTTCTAACAACTTTTGAAATATGATTGTTGTATCGCATCAAATAACGATTTTTGTTAAACAACGATTTTCTTGTTATATTTTTTGTTAAAAGTAGGTTAAAGAACAATTGCGTTTGACGCAATACCCCTATCCGTGGTTCAAACTTTGACTACCCTACCCTCACTGAACTTTCGTTCTTTGTCCCCTGGGATATAAAAGCATTTCTCCCCATCGCCGGGATCGCCACTACCTATCCACCACTGCGACCTACTTCTATTTAACTAGTACTCCTATTCTGGGGAGCTTCGGCTCCGCAGAGCCTCACCATCTTTGTATGCATTAACTTTTTAA